CAAGTTCTTAGATAAATATGGTAATTTATTTGGGTTTCAAATATATGGGACGGGTTTAGACCCTGGGACAATATTGTTTATAGGGATAGAGACTGATACGGTAACCTCCCAAACTCATCAAGTATACCATTCCTTTTATGAAGAGATGAGCATAGATAATAAGATCCCCCATAATGCTAAAAACTTGTTCATTGATTTAGCCGAGAGTATTGCCGGTAGTCTTAATGTTACCAACTGCTATGTGTGTGGAGGTACTAACATGGGAGACCAATGGCCTTGGGAAGCAAAGGAGGTAATGTCCGGTTCTGAGGCAGTTGACCAATTAATATCTACACAAGCCGACTATCATATGAGTGTTAGAGGTAAATCTGAGTGGAGATTGAAGACCTCCATCATAGGTTATGTTTGCATAGCGAGGAAAGGAATGATGTATAATACTTCTGTAGGAGAATTAACTTGTCTAGGGCAAAAAGCTTATGATGATGATACAAAGAATACAACTTGGTGGTCGGCTTCAAATGTCTCAGAACCATCTAACCCGTTTGCAAGATATGCCAATTTAAAGGACGTATGGTTTGATCTATCCATCACATCTAACTGGAGAGCCCCAGCGAATTTGTACTGGATCTGTGGTAAGAAGGCCTATTCGGAGTTACCACAGGACTGGGAAGGGGCATGTGTGTTGGGTATGTTAAAACCATCCTTCTTCTTGTTGCCTATTGAAACAGGTGAGACTTTAGGTGTTAAAGTGTATGATGTGAATCATAGGAAGAAAAGGGGACCCATAGAGATAGGTGCCTGGGAAGATAATGAATGGCCTCCCCAGCGTATTATAGATTATTATGGGCCAGCCACGTGGGCAGAGGATGGTACCTTTGGTTATAGAACCCCTATTTATATGCTCAACCGCATTATAAGGTTACAGGCGGTGGTTGAGATCATTACTAACGAGACATCACAAGCGCTCAATCTTCTAGCGAAGCATAATACCAGGATGAGGACAGCAGTTTACCAAAATAGATTAGCCTTGGATTATCTTTTGGCAGTAGAGGGAGGTGTATGTGGGAAGTTTAACCTGAGCAATTGCTGTCTTCAAATAGATGACGAAGGGCAAGCAATAGCTGAGCTTACTAGCCATATGGTTAAACTAGCGCATGTGCCTACTCAGGTATGGAAAGGGTACAATCCAAGTAGTTGGTTTGGTAGCTGGTATGAGTGGTTTGGAGGGCTTAAGGCAGTGGTAGGTGGAGTCCTACTGATTTTAATGTTGTGTCTACTCCTGCCGTGTCTTATACCCTTAGTAGTTAGGTCTGTGCAAAGCCTGATAGAAAATATAGCAGAGAGGAAGGCTGCTGCACAGATAATGGCAATTTATAAATATAAGGCTCTAGATCAGGGAGAACCAATGCAGGAAGACGAGTGTTGAAGATTCACATCGTAGGATAAGTCTGGTCTGGTTCAAAGGTAACTTGTGGTGTATGCAAACCAAGGTTAAGTGATGCCTCAAGTAATTGTAAAATATCAAGAGGCATCAAAGGGGGGAATGTGGTGGAATCTCGGTAAAAATAAATTTAGTAGGCCGAGATTACCACGTGGCATGTGTACGTGCATATGCTGACGTATCGATCAGTTGGTTGCACGAGGCAAGATACGATCAGTAGTGTACGGAGCATGTGCAAGAATACAGGATGTAGTATTCCCCTCCTCCATTGTGCTGGACAAGCCATGCGGTCAAGCAGGAAGTTAATTCTTATTTGTAATGATTGGTCAAGAGAATGTGCGGGTGGAGCTTAATATGGGAGGAGTTATGTGCCTATATAGGGAGCCTGCACTATTGTTCAGGGCTCAGAACTTGCTGTATTTTTGGTGACATTAGTCCCTCTGAGTCCCGATCGGTGATCCAATAAAGAATCTCTTCCTTCCTGAAGAAACCTGTGTCCATCCCTCTGTGCTTTGCTTCCGTCAGTTTCTCCGGTATCAATATGTCGGTATAATCATAATTTACCTCTTTCATATTAGGTGCCCCCACACTTATTATATATTATTTTGTTCATTCATGAGAAATGAGTCCTTTATTTCACATCAAGTATTTTTATATGAAAGATAAGTTAATATGAATAAAATCTAAAACAAGAAGTGTAAACATTTTTTTACAAAAAACACATTTTGCTCTTTTCTGCATGGGGTTTTAACTGTGAATGTCATAATACTGTTTACTGTATTACTGTTTTGCCTTTACTGCAATAAAATACACACACATTTGTATGTTGTGATGTCCCATAAATATAATGATGCCCCCATCTACAGGTTTCATGGTATTTTTGAAAGTTGCAGAATCAAACATGTGGCTTGCCCATTTCAGGTTTAACACATTGAAACATGCCTGATTGGTTCACTGGACCATTTCTGCTTTTAAAAATGCATGGCAGCCTAGGAAGGAGAATTACCCCCATCATGTCATACCATTTGCAAAAATAGACACCCAGGGTATTCAAAAATCAGTATGTCCAGTCTTTGTTTTTCACAAAAAAACTTCACATTCACTGTATGTTTTACTGCTCAAACATACAACAGTAACCCCCATGTACAGGTTTTATGGGGTTTTGGAAAGTTACAGTCATATATAGGTTTTGCAAATTAAATTATCTGGTACTTCTGTCTCGGTTGTCAGGCAGGTCCCCCAAAATATAATTAATAAAATAATATAACTATATATAAATAATATATAAAATACATTTAGAAATATATATATATATATATATATATATTCATATATATATATATATATATATATATATATATATATATATATATATATATATATACCTAAAGTGTTATTACACACTTAATTTGATTACAAACTTACTTTTTTATCATGTATATATAATGACATTATTTTTATTACTTATAATTTGCTGCATCTGCCTGAAATCCCAGACAGTCCCCCTGCAGTCAATGTGTAAATCATGATGATCTAAGTCATGTGATCACTGTTGTTGGGATCACAGGACGCGGATGGGTCAGGTTTGCTGCAGGTGGACTGCCTTGATTGTCAGACAGTTCCCCCAATTACAATCGGGAACATGGATGAGTATCCGGGCTTAAGTTAGGGCTCAACTGTTGGGATGTGCTATGCCACCCTAATAGCATTAAAGCCCTCCTTTTGTAAGACGGCATAGCATGCCCCAACAGTGTGATCAGATGAAATAGGCTAGCCTTTACAACCCACGTGCATCAGTGAGTTCTGGGTGTCCATGATCCTGACATCAGGTCACTTGTAGGGCCGTTTGAAGGAATTTGGGGGCCCCAAACAAAATGGACATGAAGGCCATCCCCCAAACCCCCCCACATGCACGCAAAGCCTACAGGAACCACAGCATAGCCATACAGTTTAAGTTCACTTACCCCCTCCCCCTCCCTATGTTCTTCTTACTCCCCTCCCCCAGTGTCCTTCTTACTCCCCCATCCTTCTTTCTCCCCCGCCTGTGTCCTTCTTACTCCCCCCTCCCTGTGTCCTTCTTACTCCCCCTTCCCCCTCCTTGTGTCCTTCTTATTCCCCCCTCCCTGTGTCCCTTCTCCCCCCTCCCCCTCCCTGTGTCCTTCTTACTCCCCTTCCTGTGTCCTTGCTCCCCTCTCCCTCCCTGTGTCCATCTTACTCCCCCCCTGTGTCCTCCTTACTCCCCCTCCCTCCCTGTGTCCTTCTTCTCCCCCCCTCTCCCCCCTGTGTCCATCTTACTCCCCCCTCCCTGTGTCCTTCTTCCTCCCCCCTCCCCCTCCCTGTGTCCTTCTTACTCCCCTCCCCCCTGTTTTTTTTACTCGCCCCCTCCCTATGTTTTTTTTACTCCCCATGTTCTTTTTAATCTCCCTCCTCCCTCCTTATGTTTTTTACCCCCTCTCCCTATGTTCTCACCTCCCCTTCGCTGTAGCATGGCCGAGCTCCTCTTCCTCCTGGCTGTCATAAAACTGAATCTCCTGTACCGCATGGTACCCGGCTGGACTGAAAGGAAGTGAGCTCTCAGTGTGCACTTCCTGTCAGTCAAGCCGGGAACAGGAAACTGAATCTCCTGTACCCCGCAGTACCCGGTCGGACTGACAGCCAGGAGGAAGAGGAGCTCGGCCACGCTACAGGGAAGGGGAGGATGGAGGAAAGAGGAGTGCTGCAGCCGCCTGAGGCTCTCTATAGAGCACTCAGGTGGCTGCAGCCTTACAGGAAGCACCAGCTCTGCTTGGGGCCCCGGGCCAGCTGGGGGCCCCAAGCAATTGCTTGGTTTGCCTGCCTGCTAGAGACGGGCCTGGTCACTTGTTGTCTTTCCTGTAACCACTTTTGGTAGCTACTAAGTACTACCTACCGGGAACACCCCACAATACATGCCGTTTTGGAGATGCTCTCACCCAGTAGTCTAGCCATCACTATTGGCCATTGTCAAAGTCACTCAGATCTTTTCACTTGTCCATTGTTTCTGCTTCCAACACATGCAATTCAAGAACTGACTTTGTAGTATATACCATCGCTTGACAGCGATATATACCATCGCTTGTAACAATATAATTAATGTTATTCACTTCACCTTTCAGTGGTTTTAATGTTGTAGCTAATCAGTTTGTTTCCATTTATTTCCATTACCCCTTTCTCCGGCTGAGAGTACCAATGATGTTTTCAGTTTACACCTTGGTTTACATATTTCTACTGTGAGACTGAGTGCCAGACTTACTGTATTTTGTTTATATATATTTATATATATGTATATATATATATATATATATATATATATATATATATATATATATATATAAAGAAAAAATAATCCTGCACTCCATATAACTCCAAATATACTTGCCCGGTGCTTGTCAGGCTGAAATACAGAGATAAACAATCCAGATAGCACTCTCAGGTCTTGGAATAAGTATAAAATGTACCATTTAATTAGTTGTGATGTCGCGAACCGTTCGCGAACTTGCCGCGAACGGTTCGCCATGAACCGTTCGTGGCGAACTCCGGTCAGCTGACACATCCCTGCCACTCTCCGGCAGACCCTCCCTCCCAGACCCTCCCATCTCCTGGACAGCATCCATGTTGAAGCTGCCTTCAACATGGATGCTGTCCAGGAAGTAGGAGGGTCTGGGAGGGAGGGTCTGCCGGAGATTGGCAGGGATGTGTCAGCTGACCGGAGTTCGCCGCGAACCGCGTGGCGAACCGTTCGCGGCAAGTTCGCGAACAGTTCGCGACATCACTATTAATTAGCTCTAAAAATAGATCGACGTTTCAGGCTGTTATATACAGACTTTCATCAGTACTCATCAGGTCCTGATGAAAGTCTGTTTTCATATAGTTTCCCATATTTCCTTAACATAATCTGAACATTTCCCTAGTCTGATTTGTTTACATAACATGTCTCATAGTCCAAGTTCATCATTATTTGTCTCTACAGAGCCTCTCGTGTTGCTGCTACTGCAGATCTCCAATCTTTTGCTATTAATGTGTTTGCAGCTATAAGGAATTTGAACATCAACTTGTAGTCTGTTCTAGGCATTTCCCCTTGCCACATGAATGTTCAGTTATGAGATCAAATTGTGAATGTATAACTTTAGTTGCTATTCCCCACACCATCATCCAGCAGTGAGATATTATAGGGGAGGTCCACCATATTTGAAGCATTGTGTCTATTTCTGGTCTGCACCTCCAACATTTATTGGAAGTCCTCAGGTATATGTCTGGTAGGCAATAATTCGCAAAAATAACTTAGACCACACAATAAACACAGACATTGTTCATTTTATTTCAATGGGCTTGGCCGTGGTGTATATTAAAGCTTGAAAATGGGGCATACCACCAGTAACTTGATAACGGTAACATATTCAGGTAAACTTTTCACTTAACTTCAAAACTTTTCACTTAATGTGAACTTTTACTTTCACCATCACTTAGTGCCAGTCAGTCATAGCTAACCTGACCGCCTTATAAATACAACCATTTATCACCATCACTTAGTGCCAGTCAGTCATAACTAACCTGACCGCCTTATAAATACAACCATTTAACACATATCCTTCCTCAGAACTTGAACCTGAGGATGACTTTTGCCCCAAGCTTCCAACACCACGACATAACATATAAACACATTTAACAATTAGTGGGAGGGAGGGTGGGTGTCCGTCGGTGCTTCTCCCATCCTGTAGAAAAGACAGCTGACAGGGATTGCCTTGCACTGTCACCTTTTATACTTACCTGGTTTCCCGCTCTCTTTCTGGCTCACTGACAGCAACCAATCATCAGCCAGTTCCTGTCCCCAGCAACAGCTTTATCACCTAATCTGCCCAGCTACTTGTCCGACTCTGCCCAACAAGATGATCAGGGGTCATGAACTTACACTGACCTATTAACCCTCTATTGCCACCATACATATATGCCACAGTGCTTAGTGCCTGTGGCCTCTTAATGTGTACTAATTTGTCTGGTATTGTATTTTGTGGAGAAGTACTAAGTGGGATGGGCATGTAGTGTTTCCTTTATGTTCCGTGAATGCTCTTTTTCAAATCCATATGTGATATATTTTAAATCTCTGTGTCAGGATTCTGTTCAAATATTTTTGATAGATAATATTTTTTGAATAACAAGGAAATGTAATACAGTATTCCTATCATAAAATTAACAATATTAATAAGACAAAACAGCGAAATGATAAATGTGAGTTTACATTCCATAGTGTGTTATTAGATAATAATACATATAAATCAAATTACCAGTAATATAAATAAGCATAAATATAAGATAAAACACTATATGTCCTTTTAGTTATGGTGTTGGATTTGTTAAAACAAAACCAACAAAACAATACGTATTTTCAATAAGTGTTCGGCTAAGTAGATATATTGATCATATCTTATATTTACATTGATGTCTTCCTCCCACACAAACCATTCATGTCTTAAATTATTTGTGATATTAGATGGGGAACAAAGAGCCAATTTGCAATTCTTGTTTTAAAAAATTGATAGAAGAACTTAATTATTAGATGGGATAATAACTGATTTCCAGTGTGTAGATATTACAGAAGTTGCTGATATTAGAAGGTGGCCTCATATAATATTTTTGCATATAAATTCATTTTCTGTGATTTTTTTTAAATAAACATAGAACTGGGGATAAATTTACAGGGAATTGTGAGGAATAATTCAAAAATAGTGATTTAAGTTGTAGGTAGGAGAATATTATTGTATTTGATATATTAAACGTAGACTGAATTTCCTGAAATAGTAGTAGTATGTTGTCTCTACTGAGCTGATACATATGAAAACATACCCCAGAGGACCACATTGTGTGATCAAATGTGGATATGCCCAGGTATATGCAGGAGAGTGGTGTGGCCATTGATAGTGGGCTACTAATGCAAACTGAAGTTAACGATTTATCCCATATTTGTAGAGTTAGATCTGTAGTGGGAAGTAAAGCTTGTGGTTTAGAGCGTATTGGTTTAGGGAGCCAATATAGGTGATGGAGTCGCCCCATGCACACTCAATGTGACTCAATGGCTACCCACTAAGGTGTACCCACTGTAACATGGGCCGACACAACAGTGGCCAGCAACGCTGTTTGGTAGTATTGTTTTACATTAAAGAAACCCAGTTCTCTCTCCCCAACTGCCTTCTGTAAGGTAGTTGTGGCCACTCTTACCTTTTTACCAGCCCATGTGAAGCTCACAAATAATCTCTGTGTAAAAAAGGTTTGGGGGGCGGGATTTGGAGCATTCACAAAAGATATTGGAATTTTGGTAATACAGTAATTTTAACTATGAAAGATATGTTCCCTCCCAAAATGTTGGGCAGGGAGGTGGCCGGACGTGCAGGCAGGCAGGCAGGCAGTGATTTCCTGGGCGGGCGTCGAGGGAGCACTTTCCCCTGAGCTCTCTGCTCAGCTCCCTCGCGCTCCAAAGAGTGATGCCGGGAGCTGGAATATGATGTCATATTCCGGCTCCCGGCATCATTGCGGGCCGCGCAAGGGAGCTGAGCATTGAGCTCAGGGGAAACTGCTCCCTCGACAGCTGCCCCAGGGGAGCTCAAAGGTGGCCAGCCGGCCAGCTCTTGGGCTCCCATAAAACGAGGCAAACAAGGTATTTGCCTGGGCATTTGGGGCTGGCGATTTTTCCGCCCCCTGGAAATTGCCACCCAAGGCATATGCCTTGTTTGCCTCATTGTAGATACATCCCTGCATATAGCTCAAATGCAAGGTTTTGTTTTTGGTCAGAACTTGTACAATTGCCTCCATCCTTAAGGGATTAAAGTACAGTATTCATCTCTGATTGAGCACAATATGCACAATATGCTATGTTGATAAGGTTTTCAGGGAATTAGTGAAGATCAGTCTTTTTCTGATCACTCTCGCCTTGGGATTTACCATGAGTTACCACTTGTTCTTTTAGTCCTTACTAGATGCAAGAGCCCAATTTGAAAGAAAGCTCCTAAAGACATATTATGTAAGAGCTACTAATTTTCTCATGTTTTCTTGATCTGACCTTGGCCAAAGACAAAAACCTTATCCATTATCTGTCGATTTAGCAGACTTCTCACAGGATTAAGTCTAGCCAATTTTCCATCCCCTGGGGATCTTGTAAATGGATGGTCAATGCTACTGCCATGGTATACAAGGTTTTACAGGTTCTACTGCCATCAAGGATAAGCACTCATTTTTCTCATTTTATCTCTATTTCTAGGCTACAGAAGCTAATGTTTCTCCACCTTGTATCTGCAGATTGGGTATTCAATTCTCTAGTCCGTTTCTCATTTTCAATAAATATTTACCTTTGCATTTAATTTTGGCCTCCCTTATTCCTTATTATTATCCATAAGTTAATGCAGCCTTGGTTAGGCAGCAATAGTATACATGTGTACATACATTTTTCTTAGTTTCAGTCCTGTATGTGCCCTTTTCTTTTTGCATTGAATGGCGTGACCAGTGTTTTTTCTTTTGTCATTCTTCTTTCTTAGCTATTTGCCTGTTTTAAAACACAGAAGATTAAGTAATAGTTAAAGAATGTGCTTCAAAATTCTCTTCTTTGTTGTTAGTTGAAGGAACCAAGGAGGCAACTATACAATTTGAAGTACTGTTCATTATGCCACAGAGAATGAATTTTGCAGTAGGTAAAAAAAAAGTAAAATAAAATTCTGAAAGTGTTATTGTTTTTCTAATAAAATGTCGATAACCTAGGACTCGTCTATTTCCTTTTTTCCTTCTTTTACTACTTTCCCCATATTCATTTTTTTCCCCTTTATATTATCTTTGTCTTTGATTTACTTCTTCTACATGTGTTTATAAGATATTTTCCATATGGTTTTTAAATCACTTGTGTGTATTGTTTAGCTTTCAGCAGCATGTTTTACTTTGGTGCTGGCACAGACGTAGAATACTTAGTTTGCACAGGCACATTTTGTTAATTTAAAATTAATAGAAATATAATGTTAAAAGCTGCTTGTGGTATTGTTTGTGGTTGTAAGAGACTCTATGAAATTTTGTTTCTGTGTAGTTCTATGTCATTTCCTTATCTGCCTCCTATGAATGTAACCAGTTTACTATTGCCAATACAACTGTTCTTTAACATTTTCATTTTAGCCAACAGTTCTTGTGGAACTATTGCTGCACTCTGACTGCTCTGGAGACTTTCATTTATGCATAATGCAAAATGTGCCTCTCTCTGTAAAATGCCTCTTTCCTGCTTCTGTGAAAAGCATAAATAGATATGTACAGCTTGTACAATGCAGTCTTTTTTACGATTACAATTTGCTGATGTCCTTTCCCTGGCATTAGAGGAATTAAACCTTTCTAACACCCTTCTGTGCCATTTGCAGCACAGAGAGCAGCTCTCATGCCCTCATTAGTAGAGCAGACCAGGTCAGGTAGGAAGAGCTCCAGGATCACAAGACTGTGTCTCTGATGGGCCATGTGTAATATTGTCAACATAAATCATTAGTGTGCTAGAGCAAGAAAAGTGCTGGAAGCTGATTAACCTTGTCATTTAAACTAGGGCCACCTGTCCTCAGTCTGAGAGTGTCGCCTCAAAGCCTGTCACTCATCAGGCTCATGAATAATAAACTTCCTACAATAGATTTTGACTGCTAAGAAGAGAGATTTATTAACAGTAAGCCCAAAGGAAAAGAGAGAAGGGGAACAGGGAT